ATTTAAAAATGTTTTACAGTATTTGTTTCTATATGCTTGTACCTTGATATTTTTGCATGTTTTTAGACTTCATCACTAAAAGATACAGAAATTCAATGAAAGCACAGAGCAGGGGCAGAGGTGGGGTTTGTCTCGCTCCTCTGGGCCTCCTGGGTTGCTAACCCTGGGGCAGGGACACAGCTGCAACTAACTACACAGGTCGGATGCTGCCAGAGTTGAGAAATAAATGATTCTTTTGCATTTTTTCCTAGCAGCTGTAAAAGGGACACTGTCTACGTGTGCTTCTATGGTGGTCTTTCTAGCTTTCCAACACTCCAGAAAAAGGCTCTAGGACAATTTGCTGAGTCTTACTCAGATGGTTCTGAAACTTGGAGACCTTGATCAACTTTATTTAACATTTCTTCATCGGCAACAAACCAGCTTCTTACAGGCCAGCCTCTGACCCTGGCTGAACCCTATTTATTTACACGTGACTGACACTGGTGTTGGTCAGGGCAACATCCACAATCCCGGTTCTGCAATTTGCTGTATGTAACAAGTGCCAGAAGTAACAAGGAGAGAAATCCATGCGTTAGAGTACTTCACCTTATGTGCTATAGCTACTAATGTTTAGCATGTAAAGGGGAGGGAAAATATTTCTGTGACCTTCCAGTATCTGCACTATCTGGCAAATTTAGATGCCTTTTATACGTTCTCCTAATTGTTAACAAGAGTTATGTGTGCTCTATGTCCATGGATCCTATATATTTTAGTGCATACTTGGAACAGTTTTTTATGCACACATAAAATGACTACTTCTATACAATCTATGCAACAAACGTATAAACATGGTTGGGAAATTCAAGGGTCAGTCAAATATCAGTATTTATTCAAGCTAAGTATCTCACTTCTGAGAAACATTTGGTTGTTTAGCATGAGAATCTATCTTCATGTCGATGTTTTATGCAGATCTCATCAATACTTTATTTTCCAAAAAGTATTCAAATAACTAAAAGCAGGATCTTAAACCTAATTAAATACTTATCATTTTTTATGACACAGGGGTATCTTTTATAGTTCTAAAAAACTGGGCCATGGTCTAAATTTTAGGTATCTTTTTTCCTAATGATGGCAAATCAGTACTTATGTCGTAAAATTGGAGAGTTAGAATTAATGTGATTTAGTCATTATCTGTGTATTTTTCAGGGCCTGCCAAAATTTCTACGGAACACCAGTTACTACTTAACATCTTAGAAATTGTGCAGCAAGAATTTCTCTTGTCCTTCAAATGTACTTAAGCAGTGACTAGTAGTCACCACTTTCAATTTCGTAAATATATTGAACTCAAGGAAAAGTACATCGTTTGAGATCGAGAGGTATCAATGAATGAAGCAAACTGGCTACCAAGACTCTCTCACTCTAGCAGAAGATTCACAGGAGTACAGAAGTACGTTATAAGTGGTTCAGGAAGAACCTCAGGGAGTTTCTCAAGTGAGATCAGAGGTAGCAGGAAGCTATTCTGGCTTGGGAGCCTGGGAAAGGCTGCACACAGGAAGCCAGGCATTTGTGCTAACACCCCAGCTGCCTGGAACAGCCCAATTCACACTGTAACCTGGGCGTTTTCTTCCTACAATAAACTACATGATCACTCTAGAACCGAGAAGCAAGAAGGAAGGAGTTCCAGAGGGACTACAAGCAAACACAAGAGGCATGGGAGGGTAAAATCCCCAGCTCTGTCTGGGGACAAATGAAGAATATTTCTAGTGTGCATACAAAAGAGGATATTTTTCCCTTTTCTATTGCTGGTTGATTGAAACTGGAGAATGTTCTTTGAGAACTGTCATAAATCTTTTATTTGTACATAATTTATTTTTCTTTCTAAGATTGTGATTACTGGGCAGCACTGACAGTTTCCTATTTATCTCTCATTTTCCATTTTCATTTGATCAGATACTTCTGTTTCTGGCAATATACCACTTTCACATCACAGGAAAAGAGAGGGAAATTATGAACTGATTCATGCAGCTCATTATCCGCCTCCTAACCAGTTAACACTGAATTAGATATACAATGGCTCGAATATGGGTCTTGTGCTTTCCTAGAAACAAATGTTTGAGGAGAAAATAGCCAAAATTAGAAAGACATCTCTGTCTTCGTAACTATTCAGGGGGAAAGAATGGAGTTTGCTGAAATAAAGAAAACCTTAACTAACTTGCAGTGTTTCAGAACAACAGGTTTGCATTATTGATTTTTGTGTGATAAACTACATTTCCGAGAGGCATATTTCCTTTAGCCAATTTAAAAAGAAAGATCATAAATTTAGAATGAAATAATTATGTCTAACACTATGAGTATAAATGAAAAAATAATACAGCCATCAACTAAGCAATTTCACCAATAACTAAAAGACTATCTTCCTTATCAAAGGAGAATGCACAGTGGACTTGCCTTTCATGCCTGTTCATCTCCAAATACTTTTTGTGTCAGCACATTAGGGGCATCCACCAAGCTCGAGGCACGGATTTCATGAGTTCTATTCATAGGGCGTCCACAGTGTGGGGTGCACAATGGTGCGAACAGATGGAACGGGCATCGGCTCTCCTCGTTTAAGGAAAGCGGGTACAGGGACTCGATTAGGGTGCAGCTCCCTCCTCCTTCCTCCTAACTCCAAGAACTGTCGCTTCCAGGCAGAAAATGAAATGTGCAGGCCCACACTGCAATGAGCCCTCTAGTCTTCCTTTCCTTTTCCAGCCCTGTTCAGCTTCAAGGTTTCCCATAGCACGAACATGGGGTCCTTCTCTACGTATTTCTTATGAGAGGATGGTACAAAATCTACCAGTCTTCAGAGAGGGCTTTTAAAGGTCTTGAAATTGGCCAAAATGTAATTACTCTGATGCTTCTCTCTTCATGTGAGTGTAACAAAGCGATGGGATTCTGATTTGTTAGCAGCAGTCTCCTCCTCAGGCCCTCATCCTCGTCATGTGACACTCACACTGATGTTCTACCTGGCTTCCGTTTCTAGTCTCTTTCACTTTCATTGATTCCTGGGATATTGCTCAAACGATCCTTCTAACAAGACCTGATTATGCCCCTGCTTACAGATTTTTGGTATCTCCCAATGTGATGGGATAAAGCCATAGCTCACTGAAGCATTCACAAAGAGCTGGGCACCATTCACCTTCGGCCCCATACTCTCCCTCCATTCCTAAGGTCTTTGTAGAATTGAAGCCCAGTGAACTTGAACCCTATTAAAACCTTCCTTGACTCAGCTGCATTCATCTGAGTGTTATCACTCAGGGGCCTCGGTGTTCTCCAAGTCTTTTTTCATCTTTGTATCATCACTGCTCAGCTGATGGCCTGGTATGTGCCTTGAGGAAACCAATGAAACAGGTAGCAGAATTTATTGCCTTTAGGCAGAGCTTTCTTACATCAAAAGCAGTCCTAGTAGGTCTTACTGGAAACAGATGGTTATCTGTGTGTTTGGGACCACATCTGGCTCACCACCTATTCCTGAAGATGAGTAAGTGAAGGGGTATTTGCACAGGATAACAAAGCTAAAGATTTGAGACTCCTAAAGTGGATTGAATAAAATAACCCATTTTCTGATGACGGATGAGCACACATCACAACAAATCACTTTCCTATAAATATGTTTTATTGCAGAGAAGTTATAATTATTTACATGCTGCAACACGTCACAACATAAATTTACCAAATATTTCGTGGTGGGATGCTGTAGGTTTCAGATAATAGTTTCAGAAGAACCACAGACTCGGTGAAGAGACTTACAGCTCTGTTGACTCTACAACTCTCGATTGCTAAATGCTAGAAGTCAAAAGGCAGTGTTTATTCAGTCCTACCTGTCATCACTTGCATGCAGAAACCTAGGAAGCAAATACAAGAGAACTGTCGGGTTTCAAATCCATATTGCCACCGAAGTTTACAACAGGTCGAGTTATGATTCGTATCATAGAGCATTTAATTCCTGCATAAAATATACAGTTATATTAAGTTTGATAGAAATCTACCTATTTATAAACCCTGGCTCGAAAACAAGGACAGGATGCAGCCTGCACATGCACTGAGAAGGACAACCTAGCAAATGTTTGCGAGACCTTCATCGTGTGTCGTTACTGTCTAGGGATCAGTTTGGGATAATGAGCTCCAGAATTGTACATTCTGGCTTCTCTTGGTGATAGGTAACGGTGGTGACACTGTAGGAAGGACCCTAGCCATTCTCACTGATTTATGCTGGTGGAGGATAATCTATGGATTGTAGAATGTCACTAAGGTATCATTTGGCAAGTCTTCTTTACATCACATCCCTGGGGATCATCCTGACGTGCAATAAAACTCACGGATGCTTCACTGCTTAATTCTCAAAAGTGAATCAAGTGCTAACAGGTCTCGGGCATGAGTGAAACAAGTATGTGGGTCTAGAAACTCTAAACCGAATTCACAAATATACCTAAAGCAGTATTGTAAGGTCACCAAGTGGATAGGCCTCGACTGAAAAGCAAAGGATGACAGAAATAAATGAAGGCAACATTTGTAAATCGAATTCCTATAGCTTTTCGAACCTACCCCACCAACCTGAGTAATGCACAGGGCAAGCAAATGGGTGAGGAAGATTTATGCACAGCTTTGCAAAATGGCAAAGTGTTCACTTACTCCTGAAGAAAAATCACTGAGAAACGATTTGGTGAGGGATATACAGAATTCTGTTTTCACCTTTGACTGAGAACAACATTCTCTCCGAACAGCCTTGAATCCACATTCTGACTCCTTTTGACCATCTTTTTCCCTCCTAATTTGTTCTTGCTGCTCATGAAACAAAAAACAGTTATTTAGGCTGAAAATGTCCTGGAAAAATAGGCAGTTGATACTGCAGTGTTTAGAGTGAGAGAAAGAGGGAGTCTGGGCTTTATATTTTTATGAAATTCGTCTTTAAATAAAATGAGACTGAGGTTAGAAATCTCATTGCATGATTGCATCAGTAGGGTTAAGTCAGCAGCTTAGGATTTTCATGCCTGGAGTTCCGCGTGGAATACAATAGATTTTATAAGATATGCTTCGAGGGCTGTTTTGCTTTGCAAATAAACCTTACCCTTTACATTTTGAACAGGGTGGCTTGCAATAGCATTTTGCAAGATGTGTAACTTTTTCAGTGCTTGGGAGAATAAAGAACCCAGGCCATCTTATAGGCTTTCAGGTTATAAAACCTCTTTGGGATTTGAGCCCAGCAAATTCTACCTCTAGCAATGAATAAAAGTTTATGAGGATAAATAGTTTAAGGTAATTTAAAATATCATATTTTCAGTATGCATAATAAAAATATATCCATACAATGATCTTGATGCTATCATTATTTTTTTCTCTTTTAAAAAAATAGTCCCTTGAAAGTGCTATTAGGAGCTACCTCTCTGTCTTCAGTTTGAAAGGCAAACTTCCTGAATCTGTAAAAGTGCTATAATTCTCATGTCATTCCTAGAGCCTTTCCCTTCCAGTGGTAATAATAATGTACAGTTTATTTTTCTCACACTTAGCTTCCTCCTTAGGAAATGCTGCTAAGTATAAAATACTGAAAGAGTTAAAAGGGACAGTTGGAATGATCTATCTTTTACTTTGAACAAACAGTGGGTAAGTTGTCCTTAACCTGTTGACTAAGTGGGGCCACTTGATCTCCAGAAGTAATCTAGCCTCTGAGTCCTAACAAGAAGTGCAAAACAAGAAACTGAACTTGTATAAAAAACCCTGATTAAGACAGTCAACAAACTCTGATGTGAGATAATAAGAGTCAAATCCAAATTCACAATATATAAACCACAGCCCAAACTAAGAGTTTTTATCATAACAGTGATGGCTTCCTAAGCCAGAGAAAGCTTACTGTACTTCAAGAATCAACTAAAGTTGATAGATAGCAGGTTTCCTGTAAGTTGCAAAAACAATTGAGTAGCTACAGTTTGCATAAATGAGTTGTGTCACATGATATCAAAGTTATTTGCAAAAATTATACAATCTGGAATGCTTGGGTATGAGACACAACAATATACTAAAACATATAAGAAAATGAGGGCAATCATCAATATAAAAGATATTTTTGGGATGCATTAAGTTAGCAGTGCTATCAAGGTTAAATAGGCAAGGTAAGTTCTTTTCAGTCAGCTACTTGGAACTTTGTAATGTATACCTGTCCCTTTTTCTTCTTTGCAAAAAGTCATGTCTTCTGTGTCTCCTGGCTTGTGTTTCTTTGGATATTCAAAGTCCAGCGGATAAAGACTGATGGGGGCAAACGCTGAGGGTGACTCCCACTGAACATGTGGAATATGAAGGTTTTGCTTGTGCTGCCAGGGGCCTGACTTTTCTTGGCCAAAGTCTGACTTCTGCACCGTGATGGCCCTCACAGGCCCTCTGGCCTTCTTAGGCCCATGACTTCCTTCAACCTGCCACCCATCACTCGAATGACAAAAGACCTTGGGAACTGTTTGATTCTTAGATTTCCTGTTGTAATTTTAATTTAGGACTCCTTTCTTTTCTTCCTGGGGATACTGTTCTTTAAAAGTGTCCCAGAGCTCTTATTTCCGAGGCCCTGCTACCTTTTCTGCATTTAGAGCAAAAGAGGCAGGTAAAGCTACGCTTCTGTCAGCATTCGGTTGCTCTGAGGTCTCAAACTCCCAAGGACACACCTCAGCTCGTGATGTTAAAGGTTGCCAGAAATTATTACTTGAGTTGTAGGATCCAGGAACGTTCTCTGCGGTAGGTGATGTCTTTGCTTCCTGGCCTCCCATTCGGCTGAGGTTTTCATTCTCTACTTTTGATGCTATGATTTTGGGTGATAGTTCTTCGTGTTGCCCAGTGCTCACATTAGCTGCATACGGTGGACCTCCACGCTCATCCTGGGCTCTCCCCAGCAGAACTGGGGTCCGGGGAACTGAACGCTTCTCATCTTCAAAGAGGGGCTGGTCTTGGTCTCCCCAAGGACAGACTTCAGCCTTCTCTGCGCTCTTCTGAGTGGACGGTTGGCATTCTTCAGCTGCCTTAGGCTTGGGCTGAGATTTCTCCTTTAAGGAAAAAGTCGGGTTTTTCTCCATTTCAGAAGCTGCAATAGACACGTGTTTTTGAGATTTTGATTCTGAAGGCACAGGACCAGGCGCCAGGCCGTAAACCTCCCAAGGGCACACTTCCCCAATGTCGAAGCTGTCCTTCACCTGGGTGGTAACTGGGCTCAGCTCAGAGTTGGCAGTGACGGGGTTGACCCTTTGTTGTTTCATGATCCCAGATTTCTGAGGCTTCCTTGGCTCCTCCATGTGATTGGAGTTTTGGGGTGCAGAATCTTTTGTCTCCGTGTTGTCTGAATTTGGGTGTTTTCTGTGAGTCTCTTTAGCTTTTGGCAAAGGTTTCTGGGGTTTAGCACGTTCTTCTGCACTGGAGGTCTGGGTTTTCCCAGCTAATCCGAGAGTCTTCTCCTTGGCACTTGCTATGACACTGAGAGACTTTTGCAACATGGACGTTCGTGGGTGCGCAGGCTTCTTCTCGGAGCTGAGGTTGTGAGCGCTTGCCGACTTACACACTAAAGGCACTGACTCCGTAGACTCAGCCTCATTGTCCTCTTTAAGCTTTTGCATCAGTTTTTTACTGGACAGCGATTCCAGTGTGGAATTTTCAGTGGCCTCCTCCTCTTGGCTTTCTGTTGGGAGGCTACCGGACTCTTCCATTTGGTCTCTCACATGGTCGTAAGTACTGTGGGACTTCTTGAGTGAGAAGACTCTGCTTTTCAGGGATTCTTCCTTAGGCCTCCCAGTGTGGCCCGAAGGCTCTGGAGGGTTCTTCCTGCCGAGCACTGTGCTTTTGGCCGTGCTGTGGTCTGCAAGGTCCTTGTCCTCTTTGGAGCACTGCCTGCTGACGGTCTCTGGGATCTCAGTAATGCGCCTCATGATGGAGCGGCCCAAGCCCTTCTTGGAGCAGCGCTTTTTCTGGAGGTGGGGATTGTTCGTGATCATCTTCTTCCTTTTGTATATTTCTAACTGGGCATAGAGTTTCTTCAGCTCATCCTGCCAGAACAAAAGCAAATTCAAAAAAGTGTGTAACTGAGGGTTCAGCCAGATAATATTATCGAGTAGCATTTGAATCTACTAAGCGTAAGCTCTTTGGGGCAAACCCTCTTCAGCTTTTCTTAACATCCACCTCCATCAATGTTCTCCTCACACGTACTTCCTAATTAGACACGAACCCATGCATTCCACCCTTGCTTCATGGGGCAAGGACGCTGAGCCTTCAACCTGTGTGGACCAGGCTGAGCCAGAACCATCAAATAAACAGAGGATACTGAAAAAAAAAGAGGACAAGGACCTGCGGATTAAGCACAGCCCTGCGCCATGTCAGAAGTATCCTGTAATCATTGATAAAGTTATGCCTGGTGGTGGGTGAGGCTTAGAGGACAACAGTTCACAGACTACACAAAGCATCTCTTTCCTTTATTTGCTCGTATGTTGTTACAGATTATTTTAAATGATCCAGCTTCTGTGTGCATGGGAATATCCTATCAGCAGAATGTCATAAACTCGTATTACAAACTTGTATCATCATTATGACTGCTACTCCATCCACCCAGATTCAGGTTGGGCCGAGTTACTGTAAGAGTCGATATAGCTTCAGCAGTTTAATTGGTATCATCATTGTACATTTTAGCACTGGATTAAGTCAGTGTCAGTATCTTCACTTCACACACAAACATACATTCTTGTTCCAATATACAAATTCACAAAACATGAGTCCTTTCACACACACACACACACACACACACACACACACACACACACCCACACGCCTGTACCAGTACCTACGCGGGCCTCATCTGAGACAGAAAAGCAGACATAGGTGTTACCCGAATGTCCTCTGGATCCAGACTGTGCTCACTCCAGGCTGAGTTGATACTGCTGTTCAGGTAGGACCCAGACCGGCCCATGTCTAGCTCGTCTTCGTAAGCCTCTGTAGCAATATCATCTCGCGGATTATTGCTTGAATGTGAAAACTGCAAGAGATATGTACTATGAGCGGCAGGCATGATGTCACCGGCACATACGGCACAGTAATTCTCTAAGGATGCCAACATTAACAGTTTCTTTGGCCCGATGGGTTCACCCCCTGGACATCTTCCGCTGATTGCCCTTCACTCGTGTTTTGTTCCTGTGTTGCACACCAGAGCTCCTCAGTGAGGCGATATTCGCACTTTCCCCTCTTTTACTGCACATTTCACCCTTGTTTCTTTCCTGTTCTTTTCTTCCATGATGTATTTGTGTTTTGAAAATAAAAGTACATAGAAAAATCTAAAGAAATGCTCTTTAAGAAGAGCACTTTAGATCTGGGGGCATCTGGAGGGGACTTTTTTTTTTCTTAGCAGTGGGTCTGTCTTGTGTCTGTCAGTTTCCTTCACTGGCTGAAGATGTACTTCCTTTGTGGGCACACATAGCCTCCTGACAGGAATGTGCGCTTGGATCTAGTACACATAGCTCTGAAAACGTTAGTTGCAAAACTCAGTGGACAGATTATCTGATTCCAGCCTCAAGCCTGTCATCACGAGATTTGGAACAAGACACTGGGCCACTCTGGAGCACAGAGGTCTTCTCTGCCTAATGAGCTCTGGACTGGATGGTATCTATGCAAGGATAGAAAGAATCTCTGAAATTACAGATTTTTCCTCAAGCTCTTCCTTACTCTCAAGTTCTGCCTCTTTCAACACATTTCTAAAAAATCATTTTCTTGTGGTCTTTTGAATCATTTTGTTTTGTTTGTTCTGTGTGCTCTTCTTCTCTAAGTGGAGAAATCAGAAAGTGAATTGGTAAGTGAAGGAAAGCAAGGAGAATCATAATAATTTCCTCACATTTTAAATAAGAAGCAAACCAAGGACCCATTCTCTGAAAATTGAGGCAATAGCTGGCAGAACATGGATTCTCTTCTCCCAGCTTATCATTAGCTCCTTTAAAAATAATTAGAGCAATTCTTCGATGATACAAAATGTCTTCCTGTCAGCTTCTCTTATAGAACTGAGCTTGCCAGGTGAATATGTACGGGGTATAGTATGTGAAATAAAAAATTCCTATATAAGTAATAATGTATGTTTTGTGATTGATCTCAAAACCACACAATCTGCAAATCTTTCCTTCCCTCTGCCATCTACTTTAGTGACACCTGCTGGTACCATGACTAACGTCTGTAAATGATGAGTGCGATAGAGTGAAAAATTCCCTGTGCTATGAATTAAACCATCTGGAGGTTACTTTTAATAATGCAGTTGTTTTTCTTGAGAAAGATCGTAGCGCCAACCATGAGTTAACGAAATAAGGGTCTACGGCTCAGGATGTAGCTAGTGGTATAATATATGCTTAAGAGCACAGGTTTGATCCCTAGAACCAACAACCAAATCAACCAACACGTTATTTACTAGATATTGTTTACTTTCTGCTATTTTATTTTTGTTAAGGCTGTTGCCCTATCCTGTCTTCTGAACTTACGTGCTATAAGAGCACAAATTTTTATCTGGTCATTTCTCATATGCTAAAGAAAGACAATAGTGGCGAGCTAAGCCCTTCAATATTTTAATTGATTTTTACTGAGATATAATTCAGGACAATTCAGTATTTTTAGTATTTTCACAAGGTTGTATGACCAAGACCACTATTACTTCCAGAATATTTTCACCATCTGAAAGAGATCTTCAACTCATTAACTATCATTTTAATTCCTTCTTGCTGCCATGGCAACGACCAATCTACTTGTCTCCATAGATTTGCTTCTATTAGGAGCTTCATAAAACTGGAATCATATATTATGTGGCCTTTTATTTCTGGCTCTTTTACTTGGCATAATGTTTTCAAGGTTTGTCCAATTATATGTATCGGTATTTTGTTCCTTTATATTGACAAATAATGTCCCATTATATGACATTATGCAATATTTAATTCAGAATTTCTAAGTGAATGGACCTTGTGTTGTTTCTATTTCTGCTTATTATGAATAATGTTACTATCTGCATTCATGTACATAGTTTCTGTATGAGCATATGTTTTAAATCTCTTTGGAACTCAATAAAACTTACTGAATGAAGGCTTTGAGTATCCATCTATTTATCTAATAAATCATATTGTACAAAGGATTTAAATGCTTAAGATAAATTATAGTAACGTGCTAAGTTATGAAAACTCTGAATAGTTAATATAATTCAATTAAGGAATAAAGTAGGAATTTTGTTCATTTATAAATATGTGTCCTTTTACTGTTGCCTGACTTGCAAGTGCAAGGTCCCAAGTTCGATCCCTGGTAAAAAAAAAAAAAAAAAATGTTCTTTTCAATTGGACTGAACCTCAACCTTTTGGTTACCTGTGAGAGTTGAGGTGAAGCCTGGAGTAAAAGCAAGCAAATCACAGCTCTTGGTTCAGCAGTGTCAACTTGATAACATGTAGCACTAATTAGACACATAATGTTCTAATATTGTGTTCTCTCCATATGAAACGCTGCAATTCCACTGTCTGTCCTCAAATCCTAATAGTATTAACTTTTATTCCATGCATCTTTACTGCTGTTATGTCTTAGACAGGGAAACTGAAACTCAGAGACCAGCTCTTGGCTCTTACAGTGCTCAGTGAGGTGAAGGGAAAGTGTCCTTCAGCATGGTCTCTGTTTTTGGAGTCAGTCCACTTTTCTCCACTTCATTAAGCTGCCTAGACAAGTCTCTGTCAGAAACTATCAGTGCTGATATTCTTCTGTACCTAATATTATGATCATTCATTTCTATTTATACAAATCTACTCCGAAAGTTTTAAACACGAGACTTCTTGGGCTATGAATCTAAACAAGAGGACTCACAGAACAGGAGAGGTTTCTTTTTAAATGACTGTGATTTTATAATGATAATGGAAGCCATTCTGAAGCCATAAGAGAAACCTGCATAGATATCAAAATATGTGGAAAAGGACCAAAACAGATGATGGGTTTTATTATAAAGTAAAGCATTTAATATTATTTAAAAATAATTAATAATATATAACATTTTTAAAAACCCACCAATTTCCCCAAGGAGGAGTTTTAAACATTTTCTTACAGTGTCAAGCAAATTTCCACACTTTCTTTGGCTATCTTGCCAGAGTTTTTAAAAGGAGAAACAATTTCAAGCTCTTTTAAAATAACCGTCTTGTAATAAAAATAGAAAGTTGGAAGAATACCTTTGGAATCAAAAGCAGCCCGGCGGTGACTGTTACAGTCAAGTGAGTATGTGCAAAATAGAGCATGAGCATCCAGTCAGACTGAAGTCTTGAGGCGAGAACAAACCTGAAACGAGAATCAGCCAAGTTAGCAGTCTGAGATCAAGGGTTTCTACTGAAAAGATCAGAATATTTGGAATTGCGTTTCCTCAGTGGGTTTTACAAAAGAAACAAAATTGCTGTTTCTATGGCATATCTTCTCATCACAGGAGAATAATGGTTTAAACAACCTTGGATTCATAAGATAGGAGTGCTACGGTCGTAGAAAAAGACAGCAAATACACACAGAATGTGCAGAGGTTGCCCAGGGTTAGTGATCTGTAGGAAAGCGGCTCTGAAAAGCACAGAGTGAAGAAGACACATGAACTAAAATGAAAAGCAGGTTACACAGGTAGTGGTTTGAGGGCAAAGTGGGGTTACAAGTCACATCCAAATAAATTTTAATTCTAATATTCTTTATTTAAAACCATTAATTAGAATGAAGACATAAGCGTGATGATCCCCAAAGTTTAGATGGTAAATAATGCAATGGACAAAATCATACACAAAGGGTTTGTAAGGTGTGTGTTTTAAAATAAAAAATTTAAAGTTTCAAATTGTCAAATTGTCTTGAATAATTTAAAATGCAATATTTAAAATTTTATCTTAGGAGTTTATATAGCTGCGTTCCAAATTGGTGAAGAGGAATTCAGCACCGCGGTTTACTCTAGTAGTTTTGGAGTAGCTTTTGGTCAATCAGCAGGTGCAAGGGAGACCAAAGGCACTGACCCTCTATAAACAAGACGTACAGAAATACACGAAGAAAAGACAGGTCGTCAGTGTGAGTGGCAGATCACTAAGTCCGAACAGTCCTTAAACGTGTGTGTCGTTTAATGAGGAATCTCTGTATATATACTCGCACCCTGGGAAAGTGATACCACCCCCGTACGATAGGGGTCACTGCAGGCACTGGAGCAACAGCTACATCAGTGGAGATGGATTTGTAGTCGGGAAGCATTTTTGGGTACTGGGAATTCCTATTCCAAAATGTCAATATGTGTGAACTTACAACTAGCAGGGAATGTCTAGAAAGAAGAATGGTTGCATATATTTTTAGGTAAAATAATGAGTCTACCAAAAATACCTTTGAGATATACTGACATTAATTAACTTTAAGTTAATTAGCATTAAATTACTGCCAGGTTTTCAGAAAATTGTAGTTCTGAAGAGAAATATCTTGAGAAAAACTGAATTCTGCAGTAGTCCTAAAGCTACTCTTGAAAAAAATAAGAGACTATTTCAGCTCTTAAAACTAGGTCTAGAAGCTGGGAACATAGAAATATTTGAAAATTGAGGCTAAAAATAACACAGTTTAAAACCCTGCACTTTCCCAAATGTTTGCATTATGCTTAGCACTAAAAACAAGATTAGAACAGACTGGGATAAAGGCCTTCTACTTATTTATACATTTAGACTTAATGCTTTGATGTGTGTGTGTGTGTGTGTGTGTGCGTGTGTGTGTGTGTAACCTGACAATTTGGTAAGAATGAAAGTAAATACATATATAACATGTAATATTATAATTTACACACACACACACGCACACACACACATGCACAGTTTATTTCTGCCCACTCTCTTCCTCCACACTCATCTCCCAGAGAGACAGGGGACTGTCACAGCACGAGGCTGTCCCTTCTTACATCATAGGTTCATGGTGAAAAATGTGATCACAGAGCCCCAACACAGAAAATAATCCAGTCATTGGAATGAAGCAGATTGTTTCTTGCTTTGAATTCAGCATAATCCACACACTGTCTGTATTAAATTTTTGAAAGTATAACTCAGTGGAGTAAGCATGAATAAAAATCGATTTGCAATCTATTTCTGCTTTTATGTATATATTGTTTTATATCTTTATATCAAATTGTGTCCCATAAAATAGTATCCCATGGTATCCCATAAGTGGTTTAATATAACACAGAAAGAACAGTGAGGCAACCCTTAAAATAAGGACAAAAACCCAGCACATCAGAAGGAACTAAGAACAGCAAAATTAAAAAAAAACGAGTCATTTGCCACGTCGATAAAAAATGAGTCAATTTACAAAACACTACCCTTCCTAAGCCTTTCCGGTTAAGTATCTTACCCAATTTTCCGAATTAATTTAAACGGCATCGTATCACAAAACAAAGCCGCTGTTTCCTGACTCAACAGACCGCGTACCTGATAGTGTGGAAAACAGCAGAGATAATGAGCTCGTTGTGAACCGCAACGGCCATGTAGCGGGGCTCGTGAAACGCCGACGGCACGGTCCGCACTGCGTAGCAGAGGTAAACGCCCCACAAGAGAAATAAAAATTCAGCTGCGGAAGGACAAGCACACAGTTTCCATGAGTCTCACAGTTGAAGGCAATGACTAAAGTTATTCAGCATGCATTGTGTCTACTACAGAAACAGCAGTTTAGTTAGAAATGGATGTTTACAAAGACTTATTCATATATAAATACAGATGCCATCTATTTATTTCTAAAATTTATTCAGCGGACGGAGATTTTTTTAAGGCATACTTTGTTGTTAACAACATTTGAAATATATATATGTATGTGTGGGTGGGTGGGCGTGAAATATATTACATATTAGAAATATATAGAATACCCAGATTTTTCCTAAAACAGTTGCAATATAATTTTCCACACATTCTCAACCTAAGTTTAGGGTGTACATAGGGACTTAGGTCATTACAAACGGGCAACAAAAGGCTTGTCACATGTTTATAAACAGCTTCTAGGCTTTAAGTTCCTACTGCCCTGAGCCTAGTCCAGCATGTAAAAACACCCATTACCAGAAATGTAAGAACACAGATCGCTAAACATCCAAGGGCATGTTTTATAAATGAGATACTGTTCTTTTCACCACATGAAAGCAATCATATCTTTTGTGGATGGAGTGCTAAAAGATTTAGCAAAATTCAAAATCACCTTGTTTGATCACTGAAGCCAGAAGAGACGGGCAGCTAAGAGTAAGAATTTCAGAATCACTTTCAGCCGGTCTGAACAGGGCTCTATCCCGAACTGACACAGCACAGTCTCAGGCAGTTTATGTAATAGTCTCTCTGGCCACAGTTTCTTCAGAAAAGTACATATTTGATAGAAATGTTTGCTAATTCAATAATGCACATCATGCACTTAACATCCCTGGCACATAGCGAATGTTAGTTTTTATTATTAAACTTCTCATTTGATGTTTTCAATTAAGCATTGCTTTTTAACTCATTATGACCAACAATCTTTACGACTCACTTTATCTTAGGTGACATTACTTCATTGGAAGATAATATCTAACTGCTCACTGTGTCATCAGACACTACCTAGATGTAATCTACTTGTATACTGAAATACTGATCTTCACTGAAAACATTGATTATCCATTGAAAAACCAAGATGTTGTATCTGCCAGAATTTCAGAGTATTTCTACCAGCATTTAAACATTAGATAGTGCCTCAATTACTAAAATCTCTTAAATAAACCAGTCTGCCATGAGCTACAAGCCAAATGGGTGAAAAACTGCATTCCAAACTCCATGAGATTTAGCTTTGTTCCAAGTTGTTCAAAATACAGTGGTTACAGGCCATATGCTGTGAATACTCTCCGGCCAACCACTACAGTAAGGCTGAGAAAAGAAACTTCTTTTCTTCATGTACCATTTCCTTTTCCATCTCTTTTTACTTCTGTCCCATTGCATCACGGTTGCTCTCTTTGCCTTGGTTTGGAATCTCAGAGCCACATTTCATTTCTATCTTTCTCTTTTGAGTGCTCATATATCTCACTGTATAATACCCACAATCACAATCTTTGCCTGCCCGTCAGCTCACTTGTGGTTTGCTGCAATTATTTTTCCAGCACCCTGCACACCTGATTTCACTCTGTCTTATCCATTCATCCTAAAAGTACCTCTTCATTGTTCGGAAATTCCACTGTGATCACATCAGAATCTGTACAAAGCCCGGTATGTGCAGCTGGGTAACCCGTTCATGTTTCCTTAGAAGATTCACTCATTGATCCTTACCCTGGAAATAATTCCTGCCCCAAAAGGAAGAGCCTCAGGGGGTTCCTGCTAAGGCAGACAATCTCTGAAGACTTTCTCGCTGCCCCTGCTCGGTGTTAGCTGCTCACATTGCCTTGCTTTGTTTTGTTTTGCTTTTTGCTGGTATATTTCTTAGACTTTGTCTTCCAGTCTCATCTCAAAGCCTCAGGTCAGCCTTTTGTGAAGCACTGATTGCATTTACATTCCGGAATCTTCAGCGGTTCATTATTATTTTACACATCCTTCATCCTGGCAGTCCTAGCCCTCTAAGATGACTTTAGACTGCATATGTGACGAGATTTCCAGGGCTCTCCAACACTGACCTTTTGAGCTCAATAATTCAGGGGTCTCACTGTCCTCTGGACATTGCAGAACTGGTTTTACGCTGAGTCTTTGCACACATTATTGAGCCCCCAGGAAAGTCTCCTCTCACCCCTCTTTCCAAATCTCAACCATATTTTCAGTGTTCAGTTCAAGACCCACTTCTGTCACAAAGCTTTTTGAAATGTTTTTAACCTGCACTTATTTTTCTTTCCACGAATATCTTACAGTTTTTACCTATGTATACAACACAATACTGAGAGTAATATTACATATAATTGGGGAAAACTGTTTGTGGGATCTTGTTAGGTGATGCCCATTCCAACTGTCTGCACTAGATATAGCTGTTGGTCTTTTAATATTATTTTCTCCTTCTGGCTATACAAGAGATAGCAACCACAGTGCATCCACATAGACAAGACATCATGAAAGTGTGTTGAACTGGGTGATTCTGAATGATACGAATTTCATATCTAAGGTATTAGACATAGACGTTCTATTACATTTCCACTCCACCTAACACTGCAGGGTCTGCTAAAGATAAAATAAGTAAGAGGCAGTCAGATTGCAGTGGTTTCTGTATCGAGACCCCCATGGAAGCTTAGGGAAGCAAACAGAAACTTAGAAGTGTCCTTTTATGAATGCTGAATTTTGAGTTGTGTTTCAGCCAATCACAGACAGCCAACAAGCTGACTGATTCTTTGCCAGGCGCCCTCCTTTCGGGTCATACCCAAATCGGGCAAACATTTGGCAGCCGTCAACCCATCTATCTGCTTCTGTGTTCAGCCTACAGAAGCTCTGTGCTCTAGCTGCTACAGCCATGTCTAGAACCACCTTTCAGCTTTTCTGTCTACAGATTCAGGAATCGCTCTTTGCTCAGATAAACTTAAATTTCATTTTGTCTCATGATTTTCTTTGAGCAGGCCTGTAAGTGATCTAAAGATCACACTGGCATCATCACTACAATGGTGACTTCCGTTTACTGACATACACCAACTGTCTGGGTCTGTACTTGGCACAAAAGGGTGCTGCGTGCAAAAATATTTGGTAAGCAACAGCAGCACACAAAAACATCTGTAGTTGAAGGGTTCACATGCAGCTGCACTATGAATACAGTATTTCCTGCTAGTTATTTCAGGGCCTTTATATATATTGTCATACCAAAAAATTCAAAAAAAGGAAAGTAGATATCAGGTTAATTAGTGTGCTATGGCTGAGAGTTAACATTTAAAAATATAAGACGAATAAGATTTCTCATAATGGTTAAGCTGAACAGTAAAATCATTTCATTAGCAGTATCAAACAATATGCTTTCACTGAAAAACAATTTATTACTCAAAGTACCAATTAAGCTAAACGTGATATATAAAAGTTGTGCTCAGAAAAAAACACATCAGTTTCATACAATTAACTTCAGACTAACACTGCAATTAGTAAAGAAAAATGCAGATGTTGCCACATTTTGCAGTGTTATTATGTGGGGGGTGAAATATGTGTTGTGCCTCTTCCTTTAGAACATGATTTCTGGTGTTAAATGATTTTGATGGGAGGTATGAGCATAGTTAAAAAGCAAGTTGCATTTATTTTTAAAGATCCACGTAGATTCATTGTTGGGATCATGTACCTGTACTGTATCCCTAAAATGTACCAATAAACTCAATAAAATTAAAAAAAAAAAAGATCCACGTAGAGCTTTTAGAAAACGGAAGCATTTTGTTTTTCATCTGTAAGGGATAACAGTTCAAAAGTTAACTACCATAGCTTTTGAAAAATTGATATGCCATAATGAAAATAATTTCAAGTTATGTTTCCAGAGGGCCGGAGCAACAAAGACGTGAGAATTAGTATCAGTGCTGTGACCCAGCTTCGTGAATTAGACCACCCAGAGGGGAGAGCAACTTCAAAGTGCAAACATCGCTCAAACTCTTTTACCCTGGTCGACTAGGATGCAAAGATGCTTTGTGTTAGTAACACTTTACCCTTCCTATCCCCACTAACGTTACTGTTAAATAGCATAAATACATAACTGGTGAAATATTCAAGTTTTGTTTCCCAAGTGTTTCTTTCAGTGCTCTCTTGTATTTTTCTCTGATCCTGTCCACTTAGAAAACTCATGATCAAAGTAAAGAATTATGTATGATTCCACCTTGGATAATACAATGTGTTTTCATTCTAGTAAGTGCATGGATATCTCAGAGGTTATTATTAAATCAAACAACTTCAAAAATTCTTGAGAACATTTCAAATTCCAGCATTCAGGGTTTAGTGGGCAGACAGAAACTTATATTCTGGTTGCTCATCTTTTCTGGTTAAAATAAGGACCATCATGAGGTTATATGGATTAAAAACCGAAAAAGATACGCCTGATAGAATTTTGAAGTTACAGTGTCTTTGTCAGACCATGCAGCGAGGGGTACATCTCTGAGTGTGTACCTGACAGGGAAGGAAAGCGGACTGTTGAGTTGTTCCTTTACTTGCATTAAAATCAGTCTTTTCTGCTGAGATATAGAAAGGTGCAGAAGAAGGTGGATGTTAGGATTCATTTCACATCCAGGATAATGGAGGCCCCAATATTTGCTCCCTTCTTAGCTCTTGGGAAGCAGGGGCCACAGGAATGGCGGATCTGGGATCAGGGCTTGTGGATAACGGTCTCCTCCAGGTGCATCCATCCTGTGAGCAGCAGAGCAGGACCAAGAATCCATGCCTCTTGGTTCTTAGCCAATGATCCCTACATTACATCCTGCTGAAGGACTTTTTGCTTTTGCTATTACTAACAGAATATAGAGGAAACCTTGGAAATAATTTTTTAAAGCAGTGATTGTCTGTACTTTAAACAACTAATACATTCATTAGAATCGATCAGCATGTGGTAATCAGAGTTCTACTCTAAAGTACTTTCTGTCCCTGATTTTTTAGCTAACATCTGTTGGCTGTGTCAGGCACTGTGACAAATACATT